GTATGTATCTATCTATCTATCTGTCTGTCTGTCTATCTGTCTATCTGTCTGTCTGTCTGTTTGTCTGTCTATCTGTCTGTCTATCTATCTGTCTGTCTATCTATCTATCTGTCTATCTGTCTAACTATCTATCTATCTATCTATCTGTCTATGTCTGTCTGTCTGTCTGTGTCTATCTATCTATCTGTCTAACTATCTATCTGTCTATCTATCTATCTATCTGTCTGTCTGTCTGTCTATCTATCTATCTGTCTATCTGTCTGTCTGTCTGTTTGTCTATCTGTCTGTCTATCTATCTATGTATCTATCTATCTATCTGTCTGTCTGTCTATCTGTCTATCTGTCTGTCTGTCTGTCTGTCTGTCTATCTGTCTGTCTATCTATCTATGTATCTATCTATCTATCTGTCTGTCTGTCTGTCTGTCTGTCTATCTATCTGTCTATCTGTCTGTCTGTCTGTTTGTCTGTCTATCTGTCTGTCTATCTATCTGTCTGTCTGTCTGTCTATCTATCATCTATCTATCTGTCTATCTGTCTGTCTGTCTGTCTGTCTGTCTATCTATCTATCTATATCTTTCTTTTGTTTTCTTTCTATATCTGTCTGTCTATCTATCTATCTATATCTTTCTTCTTCCTTTTTCTCTCTTTTTATTTTATTGTATTTTATTTATTTATTACCATTTTTTTTTGTAAATCCATGTTCCAGTTTCACTTAATTCTGCCATTTTCCAGCTAAAATAAAAGAGATTAAAAAAAAAAAAAAAACTTTTCACAAAAACAATGTTTACATTAACAATGTATTTAAGGATATATTTATTAAAACAAAGCAATTATCTTAATAATTTTGAGTTTTTTGCATTTATTCCAAAATTTCTATCACTTGCTTCCTTGCAAGTTTCTTTCTTTTTTTTGCACTTTTTCAATAACATCCATGATTTTTATTTATTATTTTTAATTACATTTTAATGTAATTTAATTAATCATTAATCTCAGTGATTTAGTGTTTTTAAGGATTTTTACATTTATTCCAAAATATTAACCATAACAATGTGGTAATTATTTTCAGATTTGGTGTATATTTTATTTGTGCTGTTTATTTTCTATTCAGACCATCAGTCATCAAAGTTCATGATGCTCACAGACCTTTAATTTCACAAAAAACCGCCTCGCTCTCAGATTGTTCAGGTCATTTAAAGTTTGATTGGATTTAACAGAAATGCATTGCTTCTATCTTTCCATTAGCTTGTATTTGTGCTCTTGTGTGCGTGTGATCCCGGTCTAATCTGCAGCATATGGAGGAATCACAGTCGCGCGCCTCACTGGGGTTTCAGTCCGTTAAGCTGCTTTTGACCGCTGTAACTGAGTCTGCTAATTGAGTTGAGTGGTTGGAGGATAAACAAATTAAACCTAACATTACTGAAATGAAGTGAGGCAGATGTAATGCGACTGGACTGAATCTAATGTGATTGGATTGAATTGAGTGAAGCTAACCTGATATCGTCCCGTGCAGAGCATGCAGCACGCGGCGTTGTCTGAAACCCTTAGCTCCGCCTCCTGTGTGTTAGGCGACACCCATCTCAGGAACTCCGCCTTAGCAGGGGGCGTGGCACACGTGAGCCACTCCTACTCCATGTTCCTGCCCTCACAGAGAGAGTCTGCAAACGGCAAGGTGAGAGGAACATTTCAGGGCTTTTACACACATGCTCAAACCTTTATTCCCATTCGTCTCAATAGCTGCTGCTCACCTGTTGAAGTATAAGACCTGCGTGCCATCTTTGCTTGAGTCAGTCACCTGAGCTGTAAATGCCATGTGACTAATTACTCGGGAGCTGCAAGTCCTGATTGGCTGGAAGGCAGCAGACATGACATGAAATGAAATAAAATTAAATGATAAAATTAAATTAAAGTAAATTAAATTAAAAATGAAATTAAATGAAATAATAAAAAAGAAAAGAAAAGGAAATAAATAATACAATTAAATTAAATTAAATAATAAAATATAAAAAATAATAAAATTATGAAATTATAATAATTAAATAATAAAATAAAAAATGAAATAATAAAATAAAATTAAAAAAATGAAATAAAATAAAATAAGAAATAAGTAATTTTTACATTTATTCCAAAATATTAACTTATAAGAATGTGGTTAAAAAAATTATAATTAACATTTTTAATTGTTTATGATTATTTATAAATAAATAAATAATTGTTACATTTATTCCAAAATATTAATTGTAAAAAATGTGGTAAAAAAGTTTCATATTTTGTGTATATTTCATGTGTGCTGTTCTTTTTAATAGCGTATTTCTATTTAAATTAAATTAAATTAAATTGAGATAATTTAATTGTAAATTAAATTACTTATAAATATTTATTTATAAATATAATTTATTTATAAATAAACAAATAAGTAAGTAAATTGTTACATTTATCGCAAAATATTAACTATAAGAATGTGGAATTAATTTTTATATTTTATTCTTTTTAATAGCCAATTTCTACTCAGACCTGTTAAGGTTATCAGGTGTCATGATGGTCACAGAAATATTTATTAAATAAATAAATACATAAATTAATAAAACAATATATAATAAATCAGTCCTTTCACAGTTTTAAGAGTCTCCAGTAAAGAATTAGTGACTTCTGTAACATCTGCTGTAATATAATGAAATATTTGTGCATGCAAAAAATGTGATTTCATCAGAAAACACGTCTACTTTGCAGTTACAACATCTACCAGCTAACCAGCTAAACTTTGACCCAAAGCAAACACGTTATTCAAACTAAACAGAGGAAGATACAGTAGTATTTTTAATTATTGTTTACTTTTGATCCATTTGTTTCATTGCATTGGCTGTTTAAAGGAACAGCAGCATAAAAGAAAGGTTGTAATGGTAACAGAGGATGAGGAAAGGGTCATGAGAAACTAAACTATGATGAATATTATAACATATCAGACTTAATTTTACACAATATTACTGCAGATTATGACGTCTTGCTCATATTTCTACATTTCTTCTCCTCTCTACAGTCAGATTACAGGCTGGTGGCAGAACCTCCATCTGACAGCTCACCAGACAGTGAAGGAGTCACACCGGTGAGAAACTCACACACACACACTCACACACACACACTCACACACAAATATATAAATAAATAATTAATTTTTACATTTATTCCAAAATATTAACTATAAGAATGTGGTAATAATGTTCAGATTTTGTATATATTCTACACAAATATTTAATAAATAAATAAAAATTTTGAGCCATTTACAGTAGGAAACAATGAAGACAATAAATAGGTAGTTTTGACCTATTTTTTTATTTACTAAATTTTTTTTTGCCATTTAGGCATCAAACAGGGAATTAAATTAAATTAAATTAAATATTTATAGAAATATTTATAAATATTTATTTAAAAATATATAAATAAATAATTAATTTTTACATTTATTCCAAAATATTAACTATAAGAATGTGGTAATAATTTTCAGATTTTGTATATATTCTACATAAATATTTAATAAATAAATAAACATTTTGAGACATTTACAGTAGGAAGCAATGAAGACAATTAATAGGAAGTGTTGACCTTTTGACCTCTGGTTCGTGCTCCTAAATGGAGCCTCTCTGTACTATTTGCTCAAGTTCTCAACTAACCTGGAGCAAGAGTGACGTCTTCTGTGTTATTTTCAGGAAAAACTGGAACCCGTCATGGGTGGTGCTGGTGGGAAACAGTCTCGTCTTCTTCAAAGACCCCAAAAGCCAGAATCCTGACAGCTGGGTGAGACTAACAGGGAATATCATGGAGTCAGTTCAAAACCTAATGCTTTAAAAATGAAATATTTGTGAATATGTTTACATGCAGAAACCGGGTAACAGCTGTCCAGAGAGCAGCGTGGATCTGAGGGGAGCTCAGCTTCAGTGGGCCAACGATCTGTCCAGCAGAAAAAACGTCTTCAAGGTGAGAAAGAGACCGAAATGACATGAAATGAGATGTACACTAAAGGAGAATGTCTCAAACTGTGCTCAGATTTGTCAAAATATGCAATCAAATATCATTTTATTTTATTTCCCGAAAGGAGCATCTGTGACAAAGTAAACGTAACAATAATTCATGTGTGTGTCTTACTGTGTGAGCCGTTAACAGAGTAACATTTAGTATTTAGTTCCTCAGTAACTTCCTCTGTTATAAGATTAAATTGTGATAAAATGCTGAACGGAACAACACTTCATGTGTGTGTGTGTGTGTGTGTGTGTGTGTGTGCGTGTGCGTGTGTGCGTGTTTATGGCTGTGTGTAGCTGAGGACGGTTACGGGAAATGAGTTCTTGCTGCAGTCGGAGACAGAATCGCTCATCAGAGAATGGTACAGAACCATCCAGAACGTCATCGACAGACTGGTGAGTCTGAAACACACACACACACACACACGCACACACAAACACGCGCACACACACACACACACACAAACACACA